TCTTTCTTTCTTTCTTTCTTTCTTTCTTTCTTTCTTTCTTTCTTTCTTTCTTTCTTTCTTTCTTTCTTATTCAAGACAGGGTTTCTCTGTGTAGCCTTTCTTTTTTATTGAGACAGGGTCCCAATTTGTAGCCCAGGCTGGCCTCCAACTCACAGAGATCCACCTGCTTCTGCCTCCCTGAGTGCTGGGATTACAGGCAAGCACACTCACTCCCAACTTTTCAAGGACGGTTTTTTATATAAGTTTACGTAATTGGAAAAATCTTTTGGAATGTAAATTGCCAAACAAAAAATCAAAAAATCCAGCAGGGCATGAAGGTGTACACCTGCAGTCCTATCACTTAGACAGAGGCAAGAAGGTCAGGAGTTCAAGGTTATACTCAGTTAGCTACAAGGGTTGTTTTGTTTGTTTTTGAGACAGTCTTTGTGTGCTGTCCCGGAATTCCCTCTGTAGACCAGACTGGCCTCGAACCCACAGAGATCCATCTGCCCAAGTGCTGTGATTAGAGTTGTTCACCCTCCAACCTGGCTGCTTACAAGTTTGGGACCAACCTGGGCTACATGTGACCCTATGTCAAAACAACAGCAACAAAATCAAAATGGCATAATAAGGAATAAACTGGAAAAGCTTTATTTCAGACCCCCTGGCATTCCCTACTCCTTGTCCATAAGAGTCTCTCTCTTTCTCTACACATGTGCTATGGTTCATGTATGTGCCTGTTTGTGTGCCTATCTGTGTAAGCGGAGGTCAGGGGAGGATGTTGGCGGTCCTGCTCTATTGTCACCCTTGGCCCCTCCCATCTCTGCCCCTGCAGTGCTAAAGTTACAGGTACACATTCAGCCACATCTGGCTTTTTACATAGGTGCTGGGGATTTGAACTCAGATACTCAACCTTCCACAAGAAGCATTCTTCACCACCGAGCCATCTCTCCAGCCCTGCAACAGAAAACTTTAAAAAAAAAAAAAAGATTTATTTTTATTTTATGTATGTGTATGAGTGTTTTGCCTCATGTATGTCTTTGTACCACGTGTGCGCACAGAGGCCGGAAGAGACCATTGGGTTTCCTAGAACTGGAGTTACGGACAGTCGTGAACCACCTTGTGCTGAAAATTGAACCCGGGTCCTCTGCAAGAGCAGCCAGTGCTCTTAACCACTGAACCATCTCTCTAGGC